GCTTCGTTTGCGAAATATTTTGCTTTAAAGTGGTACTTTTGTGTCCCCCTCTACCAACGAAAACCCTGTTTTTAGAAATGTAAGTGAGTATATACTTATATGATGAAGTTAAAAAGGAAAACTACCACATTTAAGAAGGCTGTACAAGTTTATGCGTGACAGTCAAACAACTAATAAAATTTACTAGAATTAGTAACATTTCGTTAAAATTCCATATAAAATGATCTAAAACCAGCTGCATTATAACTTTGTAATGTGACTGTAAGCTGTAGGAAACAAATTTTTTTTTGAAGAAAACGACATATATATTACTACTATATAAGGTACTTCATAGCTTTACTTTTCCTTTTAGGCAGAGAGGATCGATCGTCAAAAGACCGATCCTGGCACATTGACTTATAACGGGTGGGCCAGAAAGGAGTACGATTTTAAAAACACTCTTGCGTTTGAAGCTTTAGAGAGGGGACTGCGCGGGTGGTGGTGTTAAGTAGCTCGGTTCTCGGAAATTTAGTCGCGATGGATCACTTAACGGGAGCGCAACGTGCTTTCTGCGTTAAACATTATTATAAAAATCACGATTCGTGCGCTATTGTTCGGCGTTTATTTCGACGTGAGTTTGGATTACATGACCTAAATCAGTGTCCGAAGGAAAGCGTGATTCGATCGTGGGTCAGAAAGTTCGAAGCTACTGGTTCGACTCTCAAACAGCCTGCGGGACGCCCAAGGTCAACAAGAACGAAAGACACAATTGAACAAGTTATAGCTTCAGTTCAACGTAATCCTGTTCTATCGACTCGAAAGCGTTCAGCCTAACTTGTGGTGTCCAGAACATCTTTGCGTCGCATTTTGTTGAAAGATCTGAAATTGCATCCGTATAAAATTCAACTTGTGCAGGAATTACAGCCAAATGATCCAATTTTAAGGAGAGCTTTTGTTGAAACGATGCTGGAACGCTTTCGGAGTTTCAACAATATTCTGTTCTCCGACGAAGCCCATTTTCACATAAATGGGCAGGTGAATAAACAGAATTGCCGTTACTGGGCTGCAGAGAACCCACGTGCAAAACGTCAAAAGCCTCTACATTCGCCGAAAGTAACCGTTTGGGCGGCCATGTCAGCGCACGGAATTATCGGACCCCACTTCTTCGAAAATCGACAAGGCCAATCTGTCACTGTAACTTCTGACCGATACATAGCCATGTTAAGGGATTTTTTCTTTCCACAACTGCAACAATTTGAAGCCTATAATCGTGCGACATGGTTTCAACAAGATGGCGCGACATGCCACACAGCTAATGCCTCTTTAACGGTCGTAAACGAGATGTTTGGTGAGAAACTGATATCGCGCCGAGGTGACATTGAATGGCCTCCTAGAAGTCCGGGTCTTACACCACTGGACTTTTTTTTGTGGGGATACCTAAAAAGTAGAGTCTACTCCAATAACCCAGCCACAATTGACCAGTTGAAGACCAATATCCGGAAAGAAATGGCAGATATTCCCCGTGCAATGTGCCAGCGAGTTTTTACCAATTTGAGGTTCAGATTCGAAGAATGTTTGCAGCGCGATGGTGCACATCTGGATGATGTTATTTTTAAGAAATGAATTTTCCAGATGTAAATTTTTGTAGAAATAAAAATTTGTATGTGAATTCTACTTAGTTTTTTTTTAATGATTTTTTCAAATTCGCAATTCTTTCTGGCCCACCCTGTATATTACTAACGTATCCTGACATACCACTTTCGCTCAGTTTTATTTGATAGTTATTGTAGGCTTCATTCATTTCTTTACGAGGTTGTATGAATGTATGAATACTGATACATTTATATAGCCTCAGACAATTTCATACGTGGTACTCTTGGATTAAGCGGGCGACCCTCAAAATAGTTTAGATCAGCGACGGTTTACGAGAAGGTTCGTTACGGTTATATTATCTTAGGGTTCCACTAAGACACTGAACTATGATCATTTTTGGACGGACTTGGCATGTTAATGATTTGATGTAGATTGTGGTATATTCAAAATCGAAAAGATTTTCTAATCTTTGTTGAATACCACTTCTTATAAATCTGATTGGAAATTAAGTTCTTCAGAACCATCGTCCTATTTGGGCCTATTTCTAGACGCTATTGCGGTCAAACCTCGAACTCATGTCAACACCATCATCACCATCATCATTATTGCCCTACACCCATCGACTTCCTACGTGTCTTCCAGATCGTCACTCCATCTAGCGGGCAACTACGGAATCCTATGCAGATGCTCATGTTGTTGGGTTTGAAGCCATAATGCGCAACAGATGTGCCTCCATGCCGAATCACATGTGGACTAGCACCAACATCATCCTGAGTGTACTAGCGGACTGATGGGATTCACCAATGTTGGGGCGTTTGAAAATTCTGCATACTACAAATTAATGATAAATTCGTATGTTAATTTTAATATTAATTTTAGTTAATTTATGTACTTATTAATTTTAATTTTCTTTAATGTTATAGGTCTTTAGATTATAAATGTTTAACAAAAATGGATAATTGGTCTGAAATAGATGAATTAATGCTTGTACGACCGCAGTAACTTTATTTTTACGACCGCCATAAATATCCGTGATTGATGGTAAAGCGGTGCGGTGTTAACTTTTTAACTGCCTATGCTTATATGAAAAAAATTTTATGTCGAATATTTACGAGAATATTTTTCGTAGTTTTTCCACAAATATACGAGTCGCTTTGCACACAAACTAGACCTAGTGATCAGTCACTAGATTTAGTGAATTTTTGGAGTTAGATAGTGATATTCTGAAAAAAATTACTAAAAAGTTATTTGACGACTTTTAATGAAATCTCAAATCTTAAAGAACATATAAAAAATTATTTTTTTCACATTTACCTGTATGTCGGTGAATTCCCGAGTTTATTTTAAAATAGCACTATCCTTTTTTCACATAACAAAAACGTGATTAGATGCCTTTGTTAGGTATACTAACCTACCTTGAGGATTTCCCAACTAATAATGAGAACCTAACACGTATGTAAAGTTTGTTTCAGAGGATGTTGCATACTGTTGCTTCTATTTAATTAGTTGTCAGTCTTCGTTCGCAAAAGTAGGTGAGTAGTTTTAGTATTGAAATCATTCAATTTCGAATATTTTTGTGAAGTGTCTTTTATTTATTTGTATCCGCAATTCTATCATTAGAACTACTGAGAAACACGGATCTCGTGGAATTTTTACTGCCTTGGTAAACTGTTTACATGGTCTTCTAATAGAAAACTTAATTGGAATTAGGGTGAATAATGTCTCTATCGTGAATCGAATTAATAATGGCATATCTAAGTTAATTCTAGTCAAATGTGCTTACCACTCGTTGCAATTAGCTGTTTCACGTGCGTCCGAGCAAACGTTACCACGAAATATAGATTTTCTTATTAGAGAAACTTATAATAGGTTCTCACATTCACCCAAACGCTGCGATGAGTACAAAGATATGTAATCATGAGACAGTAAATTGTAGCGATAATCCTTTAAAACATTGCACTCTTGTGATACTCGTTGGATGTCCGTTAAAGAAACTGTGACCAGGATACTGCCTCGATTTTATATGTTACGTTTTTTGTCATAACTTTCACAATCAAAATAGTATTTTTATTACTTACCTTGTGATTTGATTTTAAATAATTTGGTGAATTCTAGTAATTATTTAAAAAAAATTCAGACCATAACTAGCGACAAATTTTTCAGCAAGGTGGCAACATTGTTCAGTTCACTCCGCGTTGGAAGCGGAAAAGGTCAAGGTAAGCGTGCTTAATGGATTCGAATTCATCGCTGCTTGTCGAAACGTATATTGAAAATATAATTCAGGATATTGAAAAAAGTCCAGCGATCTATAAAAATAACTTAAAAGAGTACTCTGATTCTTCTTCTCCTTTGTTTCGTTAGTTTTTTTTTTCAAGTAAACAATAATAATATTTCTGGGCACCATTCCACTCGTCTGATCTCTTCACCAACTCCATTGAACATATCCATCGGTTGACTGTTGGTTGGCTAGTCTGCGCACCCACGTCCAACCTAATTGTTTTGTTGGCCCAGTGTGCGCACTAGCAGCCCAATCCGATCAAACTATCGGTCGATAGAAAGTCTGTATTCTGCGCGGACTCTTAATAATAAATAATATGCCACTGTGCAAAATATGTACATAAAACTTGTGTTTTTCTTTCTTATTTAACTTCCCGCTAAGAAAAATGAAAATTTGCAAAAATAAGGAAGTTGTTAGTTCTCTCTTCTTCTTTTCTTCTCTTCTCTCTTGTAAGATCTCAATGTGGAATAGATTTGGTGATAATATGAACTGATTCGAACGAGTAGATTTTGAGAAATCTCAAAAATAAAAATTTTGTGAAACTGTTTTTTTAATAACTTTTAAACGGCTTTACCGATCGATTTCAAAAACCAATCAGCTCTTAACCTCAAAAAATGACGCTGAATGCCGTTTGGAAAATAAAAATCGGTTTATTCGTTCGTGAGATATCGAAGGACAAAGAATTTGAAAAAAAAACGTTTTTTTTTAAACACAACTTCGAGATTTCGCAACATAATTTGGTGAAATTTGGAGCGCTTTGCATTTAAAATTAGCGAGAAGTTCCAGGGATGGCCTACAGGGTCAACCAATTTTTTATAAACTTCACACACTATGATTTTCTCCTGTATCATGAAGACAGTTAAAATGCAAAAATATCCTAAGGACAAACATCTAAACCCAGAACATTTATTTTTAGTCTATCCAAATACTTGTTCCGTGTGGATGTTGATTCGCGGTCCTCAATTCTAAGTCACTACGCCACAGAGACGTCAATGTAAAATTAATGAAGTTAAAAAATATCTCAAAACTTTGTCACGGTGATTAGCTGTCACAAGTGTTTGATAAATTTTTTTCAAAAAATTTAATTTTTCAGCCTTTTATTCGTGTGAATCGCTGTTTTTTATTCTTCTTTTAAACTAATTTCTGTTCCATGGAAGAGGGTAATGAGGAAGACAATGGTAACATTGAGAATAGTGACCAAAGTGATTGTAAAGGTGTAAGTGATTGTGAACATGAGTGCGAAAATTCGAAATTTCTAGAGAAAAATAAGATGGAAACCCAACATAAAATTAGGTCAGCGGAAAAAAGAAAAAAAAACGGAGAACAGTGGAGAAGATAACAGTGAAGAGAGTTTTACAACAGTTACAAGGAGAAAACCAAAACTCATTGACGCATTGACAACGCCGTTAGAAATGCAACGCTTAGAAGAATATTATGAGGTTTGTATTACATCTTTGCAATGCCTTCCTAAATAAATAGGTTTGGCCAAACTACTTTAGTCAGAAAATATTATTAACATTATCAAAATTCGGTATAAAAGCCCGTATAAGGTTTTGGTTCAATTCCAGAAGTTTGAACATGCTTATCAGCTAATAAACTATAAAAAGATTTTAGATTTGGGTTATCATTGTCGAATTGTGAATGAGACACACTTATCTTTTGGAGTTGTAGAAGGAATTGATATAGGAATTGAAGAACAAGAAATTTTAGAAAATTTGACCTCATCATGTGAAATTTCGTCTGTGAAAAGACTCAAACGCTTAGATATAAATGGTAAGTGGACAGACAGCGAAACATTTCGTTTGACATTCAAAAGTGAACAACCGCCTTCATATGTGTATGGATATGGATGCAGATTCAAGGTTGAAATCTATCACTTTCTAGTCACGCAATGTTCTGAATGCTGGAGTTTTGGACATTACGTAAAATTTTAAATAAAAAGATTTTATGTCCTAAGTGTGGAGACAGACATACAAATTGCGAAACTATTAAATACAAATGTGTAAACTGTAAAGGCCCACATATGGCACTTGATAAAGCATGCCCTATTTTTATTAAGGAAAAGAGTCTTCGTAACATCATGAGTCAATAACATTTTAGCTACAGAAAAGCACTGGATATTTACTTAAAACAGACAAAACAAACTATGGATAGCCCAACATCTATGAATAAAGTACAAAAGGCTGATAAAGTACCAAGTGCTGATTATACGAAATCATATAGAGATAAACTTCTAACAAATAACTACATAAAGCAAAACTTATCAGATACCGAAAGTGGAGAAGAGGATACCAGTAAAGAACAAGCAACTTACAAAAACATTAAAAATAAACATATTAAAAAAGTTCCTAATTATAACGTTAAACAAAAAAAAAGTCCATTGTTGCAACCGAGTCAGCTACGTTAAATAATGAACAAGTGACAAGAATGGAAATTGACGCATGTACAGAAAAACAAGAGGGGAAACAAAAGATATCTAAGATGTGGGTAATTATTAAAAGGGTAAAAGAAATTCTGTTCTCTGAAAGCAAAGTAGAAGAAAAGATTCTCGATATTGTTAAGTTAGTAACTGGAGAGTTGAAAATAATCTTTATGAAACTTATAATGGAAAAAGAAATAAAGAGAAATATAACATTTTTAGGAAAGATAGATGCGACTCATATGGTGGTGTGGCTATAATGACACATAAATCAATTAAGGCGCATCAATATTCAATAAATACAAGCAATACTGGTTTAGAAGTAGTTTATGTCAAAATCTTCAATTATAAGTATCTTGAAAATGTTTTATCTATTTACTGCCCATCTTCTGTTTTTGCATCAGAAAAACATTTGAAACCAGAAGTGTATTGGAACCCATCTTTATCAAAAATAGTTGCGCAACGCAGGCTAGCCTTAAAAATTTTTAGAAGTAATCCAACAACTTTAAACCTTACTAAGTTACAAGAAAAAGTGGCAGAAAGCCGAAAAATGATTAGAAAAGCTAAATTTAATAATTGGAAAAAATTCTGCAATAGTTTTGATGAAACTACAAATACATCTGTTTTATGGAATAAAATGCGTTGGGTAAAGGGATTTAAGTCTAACAAATTCTATCCTACTGAAGAAAAGCTGAAAGATCTATTAAATAATCTTGCTCCGGTTTCGGTACTGCCCAGAATGCCTGAATTTTCATCAGTAAATGAAAAATTGGAAGTTAAATTCATGGAGTTTGAAAATTGCTTAAAGAAGAAAGATACATCCCCCGGATTCGATGACATTTCTTATTCTATGATTTACAATTTACCTGATGTTACCAAACATTATTTATTATATTTCTTTAACATAATCTTATCAACGGGAAACATACCCACGCAATGGCGAAATATTAAAATTACTCCTATACCTAAGCTAGGCAATAAGGATAAATTAAGGCCTATATCGCTAATGTCCTGTATTTGTAAGATATTTCATGCTCTTATAACGAAAAGATTAGAATGGTACATAGAACACAACAAGATATTATCCCCTTTCACCAGTGGGTTTCGCAGAACTCAATCGTGCTTGGATTGTTTAGTATGCTTAGTAACACATATTCAGCTAGGTTTTTCAAAAAATATACCTACTGTCGCCTGCTTTATTGACATAGAGAACGCTTATAATAATGTCCCAATTGATAAATTAGTTAATGTTCTTGACAGACTTCGGGTTGGTAAATTTTGTAAATATATTTGGTCTTTTTTAACCGAAAGATATCTTGTTATAGAAAGGGAATCACATAAAGGGTAATTGAAAAGATGGGCCAGTAAGAGTTTGGCGCAGGGTGATCCTCTATCTCCCTTGTTATTTAACATTATTACACATGATATATGTAGACAAATACAAAATGTATCTATCGCTCAATATGCAGATGATTTTGTAATCTATTCCAGTTCAAAAAATCTTAAGGACTGTGAGTATAACACTCAGAATGCTTTAAACTTTATAATTACTTCACTTAATGAAATTGGCTTAGATATTTCTATCGCCAAGACTAAGCTTATGATTTTTAGTAGAGGTTTTAGACGTCAGGAAATTAAATTAGAACTATACGGAAAGAGAATAGTTGAGACAGACAAAATGCGATATTTGGGTATTTGGTTGGACCGGTCATTAAGATGGTCTAAACAACATAATTTAATGAAATTAGCCAAAAGATATTAAAATTTGTAAATATATTAAAAGTATTAACAGGGCATGGTTGGGGTATCCATCCGCAACATTTACGTAGGTTATACTTATCACTTATAAGAAGCAGAATTGATTTCGGCTGTTTTTTATATGATATGAGTGCTAATAGAAACATTTGTAAATTAGATAAAATCCAAAATCAAGCACTTCGTATTATAGGAGGTTTTATCAAAAGTACACCAATACACGTTATGGAAAGTGAATTAAATATAACGCCTCTATATATTAGAAGAAAATTTTTAGCATATAAATATTGTTTGAAAGGTAAATCTAGAACTAATAATACTACTATTAAACTATTAACAGAACTCAGTTTATTCTGTCAAGACAGGTACTGGCAAAATAAAAAGAAACCACTTCTAGCAATTACATTAGAACAAGTTAATGATAATAATGTGTATTCTTCGGATCCACTAGATATGTTCTCTTTAAATACTTAGTTATCAAGTATCAATGTTAAAAACGTAATTAAACAGGACTTAAACTGTATCAAGAGTGCTAAAAGATGTCAGGAGATAAATACTTTAAAGTCAAATGTAATAAATGAATTAAATGTTAATTATTACGGATGGCACAAAATTTTCTGTGATGGATCCAGAGATAAATATGGTGTAGGTGCCGCTTATTTTGACTCATTGCTGGGTAATAAAAGTAAAATTAAAGTTCTTAATAGTTTCACGATAATGTCAGCTGAATTAATTGCTATAAATGATGCCCTATTACATGCTGGTACAACAAATTTTCAAAAAACAGTCATTCTAACTGATAGCAAGAGTGCTCTTGAACATATTGCTCGATGCGTCTTTGGTTTCAGAGGTGTATCGATAGCATATTCGATATTAAATGAAATATTGAAACTTCAATGTAAAAACCGTGAGTTAGTATTGCAGTGGGTACCGTCTCATATCGGTTTACAGGGCAATGAGGAGGCTGATAAGCTGGCGAAATTGGCAATCACCCAAGGAAGAGAATGTAATATTTATCCTAATTATTCAGAAATTTTAATTAAATATAAAGAGAAATGTTATACAATTTGGAAAGAATATTTTGATAAAAGATCGCGAGAAAATGGGATTTGGTACAAAACCATCCAGAGTCAGCCTCCGAAAGTGCCTTGGTTTAATCAATGTCTGTTGAATAGAAAATATATTGTATTAGCAATGCGACTTCGTTCCGGACACATTCCGTGTAACAAGTTTGCTTTCATGATGAAAATGAAACAATCTCCAAATTGCGATACATGCAAAACAATAGAAGATGTACAACACTTGCTCACGGAATGTTCCAAAAATCATCATGAAAGGAAACTATTAATTGCCAAAACAGATATTAAAATTTGTAACCTAGGGGAATATCAAAGCATTCTGTCTGAACCATTATCTAATGCTGCTCAAATTGTATATAACTTAGTTAATATTTTGTGTAAATAATTTAAGAAATTGTAGTTTGTTATTTAGTTATAATGGGACTGACATGTTTAAAATAAGTCCCTAAATTTAAAAAAAAAGAATTAAAAAAAAAATATCTTCTTTTTTATGACATGAAATTAATTATCGAGGTAAGAGGTCACCTGGTGGCAAGTGGCATAAAACAAGAATTATTAGAATATTAGAAAACGTAAACAACACGAATTGATCATGAGTTCTTTTATAGAAGAAGGGTGACAGACGAGCATCCCTGATGGTAAGTGGATGCTTTGGCATAGACATCTACATTTATCTTCGATTAATAATTGAACATGTTCCAACCCCGTTCGGCCCAACCCATTCATATACAACTGCTATGTAGCTGCAGCTTGGCTCTGCCCCGTATATTATGTTATGATGATTAAGTGAAAATACTAATACTAGATCATAATCATAAAATTATTTTATAACTGAATAAATTTTTTCAAATTAAAATGAAAATTTTCAAATTATACAAAACAACTATTTTTTGCATTTCAATGTAAAACAATTAACATTCCATTACATTACAATACAAAAAGCGTGCAACACGTACATTTATAAAGCGTGTAAAAATACTACAGGTGCGTTATCACCACTGAGGGCATAGATGAAATATCTTACACTATTTAAATATATTTGATTATTTAAACAGACTTTCCATAACTTTCAAACTGGAACACAACAAGAGATACTATTTGTGGCAGTACATCCCCTGTTCTTTATTTTATTATCGTAAGCGAAGAAACAATTTGAAGAGAATGTTTATACTCAATATATGGATATACTTTTAAATTATATTCACGTTTAACATCCTATAGCCATGCTACAGCTATATTAGTAGTGCCTATAGGTAGTTGTAGCACGAATGGGTCGGCTCGATCGGAGAAGTACCTAAAAAAAGCAGATCAACACTGCTTTGTTTCGTATGGTAAGAGAACCGGAAACCCATTTTACTGAAAACCAGGCATTCCATCTTAGTCCTCACGGGTGGCAAAGCATCTGCATTTTGATTCGTAATCGATGATAGATGTAGATGTCTATGGGCCACAGCAACCACTTACCATCAAGTGGACTGTGTGCTCGTTTGTCACACTTATCTTATAAAAAAAATGAAACACATAGAATTAAATGCAGTGAAAACGCAGTCATTATGAGAGCAATGTTTAGCATTAAACTATTATTATGCTACAATGGTGACAACAATGTCTCGTTAAAGTGTATAATATACAAAGTATTCTAAAGTACTTCTTCTATAAATTAACTTATTGGCCTCTCGAACTTGAAAATAAAACACCGTAAGTTTTAAGCTCGTCAGGTCAACATGAAATTATTTTACATATTTAATTTTATGTAGACAGATTATATTAAAAACCGTGTTTACTGAGTGTTGGCAGTGTAAAAATACTTTTACCCCATATCATCCCGTAGATGTCGTAAGAGGCGGCGTAGGGAAATAATCAGGAGATCGGCAGCAGCGTCTTCCTTATAACGACAAAACTATAAAACCCGTTTGCCAAGCGTGGCAACTATGGCAAATATCCCCTCTATGAGGCAATCTAAAGGGGAGTCTTATGTTCAACAGTGGATTTTAATAGGCTGTTTTAATAGTAGCGGTAACGGTAATGTTTTTAATAATTTTGCCTGATCATAACATAGTATGAACTACTCTGCCTCATGAGGTCTCGGTTCCAAATACTGAGTAGGGGCAAAATCAGTTATTGGGTTTTTCCATCAAGGAATTCTCAGTACCAGCCTGGTGTCAGAAAGTTGACGGTTTTTTACCCCGTGCCTCGAAAATCACGTAAAGCCTGTGGTCTTGCGTCTGATCTCTCTGGTCCGGACTATGAGAGTGAAGGATTAGAGGGTGCACCTGTGTTTGCGCACACACACGTGAACTATAATCCTGTCATGTGCAAATAGCTGGTATGATGGTATCCGTTGTGTGTGACCACCGTGGTTGAAATTCGCTCTGGAAGCCCTTATTATTATCATGAACTATACTTGATTTGAGCATGAGATTTTA